CCCACCCCCCCACCCCCTCCGGTCTTGCCGGCCACTGCTGCCACTGCTGCCACTGCCGCCATCACCGCCACCACTGTCATTGTTGCCACCGCTACCACTGCAGCCACTGCTGCCACCACCACCACTGCAGCCACCGCCACCACCTTTGCAGCCACCACTGTCATTGCTGCCACTGCTGGGCGGCTGTCACTTGCCATCGCGTCCCGCTGTCCCCGCCGAGGCTGACGGAGATGGCAGGCGATGGAGCGGGCGCAGCCGCGTGTCCCCGTGTCACGAGCCCCCCGGGCCTCAGCCCCCCGGGGGCGGCTCTTTGCCGTGACCCTCACCGTCCCCACGGTGGCACCTGTGGGTGCCCTGTTGTCACCGTGGCCTTTGCCGCCGGCGGTGGCACCACGTGCCGCGGCTCCTGGGCTTTGCTGGCGGCCGCGGCGGGGGGGGTGATGGTTCTGGTGCTGGTGGTGCTCATCCCGGTGCTGGTGAGCTCCGCCGGTACCGACGGCCGGTACGAGATGCTGGGGACCTGCCGGATGGTCTGCGAGCCCTACGGCCCCGCCGCCTCCCCGCCGCAACCGGACGAACGCGGCCCCCTCCCGCCGCCCTCCACCCTGGTGCAAGGTCCCCAAGGCAAACCGGGGCGACCGGGGAAACCGGGACCGCCGGGACCGCCGGGAGAACCGGGACCGCCGGGACCGGCGGGGGGGCGGGGTGAAGCGGGACGGCCGGGACCCCCGGGATTGCCGGGACCGGGGGCGACGGGTGCGGTGAGCGCGGCCACCTACAGCACGGTGCCACGCGTCGCCTTCTACGCCGGCCTCAAGAACCCCCACGAGGGCTACGAGGTCCAGTGTCCCAGGGTGGTGGCCATGCTGTGGGGACACACTCCCCGGTGGCCCCGGTGGCTGTGGCCCCACCAGGAGGACACGGTGGCCAGGCCCAGGGCTGTCCCCTGCCCCTCCGGGTGGGACAAGTGCCGTGACGCAACCAGGGCCTGGCGGTGTCCCCTCCGTGGCCACCCCGTCCCCACGCAGAGCCCCCTGCCCACCCGAGGCCACCACGAAACCGTGACAGCGGGTGACTCACGCAGCCCGTGACCTCGGCGAGGCGTATTTTTAGGCGCTCGTTAAAAAAGAAAGATAACGAGGAGGGAGGGGGACACAGCACAACGACGGAGAAGAGAACCAGGGAAGGAGCTGGTGACAGACTGGTGACAGCTTGAGGGGGGG